CCAATGACTCTAGCTCTGGGAGAAAGAAATTTCAACCCCCAACAAAAAAAGGGTATGACGATGTACAGTACCCATGAACTGTTCCTACAGTGGGCCACCCACTGCTGTAAAAAAAGACCTGCCAACAGGATCCGGACAGGAGCCTGGCAACGATCCACGAAGATGCAGGGATGCAGAGATGCAGGTCATGACTCCACCGGGGGCAGGCAAATAGACCATGGTGATTGGCGAAAACACGTCCATCACAGGCTAATCATCTCGCTTCGTATGTTGATCTGCGTGCTGGGAATAGAAGGCCAATCAGACATGGCGCGTGCCTGGCACGGTTCCTGAACTAGCGCCGAATGGCGGCCGTTGGATGCAATTTTGTGAAAATAGGAGAGAAGCAGCCCAGGGGGATTGTGCACAAGGTTCGATGTAAAGAGCCCAGGAACTGGGCACTATGGAATGACGGGAGGGGGCTGTTGGACATGCAGGCCCACGACTGAGGCAGGTCTCCTTCAGAGTGTGCGGCAAGGCGAGCTTCTCGTTCTAGGTATCATGGTCTACTGTTCGGTTTGCTGGCTGTTTGTTTGTTTCTTTGTTTGGTGTTACCCGTCGTTGGGGTTCGTCCGCTGTTTGACTCTGGGGGCGCATGGACGTTGCGTTCGCGGCTGGCAGGACGGCGCAGATCCGAAACACAAAGACATTGCCATCTCTCTCTCACGGGACGAACGGCAACGGCCGGCACCTTAACCCTTAACCTACCTACCATGTACCTACCGTAGGTGCCTACCTACATGTACCATGGAGGTAGGTGAAAACTGCCGCAATGTTCGATGGCGACCAGACAGGGAAACCACCGCCTCGCTGGCAGCTGCCAGTCAGCCAAGGACGGCCCTGCTTCCCTTGAATCCGCCCTGCCGTCTGTGTCTCCCGCCCCCTTCCCACCCCTTCCCATGCTTGCCATGTTGGTGGCCCCCCGACCCCTGGTTCTTCCTGCCAGCTCACAACCCCCCTCCCTCGCCCTTGGCGCGCCATGCCTGTGCCTGTCTGTGC